TTATTATCTCAGGAACCATAAAAGCCAAGAAGCTGCAGTTTTGCGGTAGTGCCGGTGCGTGAGGTTTCATGCATCGGTGCGTAAAATTTTTAACTATTTTTCAATGTTTAAACTACTTTCGCACAGACTAAAGCACAAAGCAGTGAAAATCAGTAGTAGGCAATCGTTCAGTGGGCGAATTGCACAAAACGCATGGTCGCGTAGGCTAGTCTGGTGTGCGTTGCTATTTTTTTTTTTTTTTTATTTTTGAGCTAAAGATGACTGCACTTTCGAGTGCCAGAAACAAATATGTCGCGTCAGGGGCAAATCTAAAAGAAGGCTTTCGCCATTAGCAAAATTACTTGGGCTGTCGGTAGCGGATCCTATGTTAGTAACATCACTCTCATATATCGGTCGCAGCTATGCCTGGTCCTTCGACTTTGAGCAATGTATTTCCTAATATGGCATCTTCGCTGTATGTTCGCCACTTCTTCAAAGGCTGCCGAATACGCAGCTAATTTTCGGCAAGTGCTGCTCCCTGATGTTTGATAGTTCAGTGTTCACGTAACAAAGCGGAAATCATTATCACAGAACATTGTAATTCAGTGCAAAATATGAGAAAAATTACAATTTTGCACTGTTTCAACAGTAGACGATAGCAAAGATAGGACGTTCAGAGTTAATGACAAAACTTTCCGTTGAGGCTGCAAGTTCAGTATCTGTCCGCAAATCATTCCAAGTTGAAGAGACCACGAGCAGCAACTTTATTTTAATCAGACGACATTTACCTGATGTTTTCTGTTTTTATTAACGTTTTACACGAAAGTTTATCATATGTAAACAAACTTAATAAAATGTTTCAGGAAGATTTAGTAGCAAAGGAAATGTATACCCCCGTCTTCGATTTGCGGAAACTGAAATATGGGCACACTATTATTGGGCCGGCAATCATAATTGATGCCAACAGGTACGGCGTAAGCAGTTCTTGATTCCAGCTTTTCTTTAAAAAACCACTGTTATCGGCTCTTATCGTGCTGAGGGGCAATCAGCACTGCTTTTGTGTTGGAGCTTGAGAATTCGATTCATCAGCGGCACATTTCTGTTCTTCCTGCAATTCGTTCATTCGTTTCGGTTGCAAACTTTAACTGACGTGTGCCACAGGCACCATCACTTGTTTTGTTATCCACTATTTATCGTTGCCATTGGCAACTTTGGCAGTGGGCGTTGACATGTGATTTGTGTGTTTGTTAGCTTTTGCTACTGTTTAGGCTATTGTTGAGTACATTCGCGTCTCACTGAGAGTGCAGAAAGGCTTTTGACTTTGATTCTCATCATAATTTAGCGTTTTTCCTTTTGGTAAATTTGAAAATTTGAATAATTTCTTTCTGCAGCACCATTGTGATCGAGCCGTTTTGTAAAGCAACAGTCACTTGTGAAGGCAATATTGAAATTTCGGTCGAAAGCGCAAAACGAATTGAAATAGGTAAAGTAAAATAAAATTCACAGATTGATGCAAATTCATTTTGTAACTGAGTAACAGTAGAATAAAACCGGTCAGAAATTGTGCTGTTTGTCTACCTCTTTGTTATAAAAAAAGCCTGTTGAGTAACCAGTTGTGAGTATATTTACACTCTCGTCTTTTTCATTTTTATACGTTTTTGCATATATGCAAATTCATTTTCCCTTATGCGAAAGTTTGTGTTGATTTATGATAAAGAGTGTACAGGTTAAGGTTAGGCAACAACCACTGATACGGTTAACAACCATTCACAAAGACTGTTTCAAGTGTAGCACAAAAACGCATGGTCGCAGCAGTAAACATGGTGCGTCGCAGCCTAAGTTTCGATTGTCTTTTTTCATGATTCTTTTGATCCCCTGTCTGGATTGTTATTTTCATTAAGAACTTATTTCATGTGATTCAAATGTCTTTTGTACCAAGTGGTTGTCTTGCTCTTTATATTATTCTGAAGTGAATTTTTTAGGGGTGGACGTCGACCCAATACAACTTTCCATCTTCAGCCATCGTTTCATGTCTATCGCCGAGCAGATGGGTCGAATTCTTCAGCGAACGGCAATTTCAACAAATATTAAGGTCTCGCTAAAAATTTTGATTTGTTGTTAATTATGCGTTCATTTTAACTGGCTTATTTGCAGGAACGTTTAGATTTTTCATGTGCGCTTTTTGGTCCGGATGGCGGCCTTGTTGCCAATGCACCA